GGCGCCGGGGAGCGGGTCCCGGGTCCCGCAGGGGGAAGGGGACGGGGACGGGGCTGGGCTCCCCCTTTAGTCTCGGATGTGGCTCCCGGCGGTCTATCGCTCTGGGGACCCGCCCCCCCGACTGCTGGCTGCTCCCCGTGGCCGGGTGCTGGCTTTGCTCCATCCCTGCCCTTTGGCTCCGGGGTGACGCTCTGGTCGTTTGCTTCACCTGGTGCCCAAGAGGCTGGGCAGAGCCTGGGCCCCGCCCCTTAGCTGGGGTTGTGTTGCTTTGTTAAGATGTTTTCTTAATAAGTTTTTCCTACCAAACGCTTCTCTGGGCTGCCTCGTTCTGTTCTGTTCCCAGCTGGGGTGGGAATCGGGGCCTGCAGCCCGAGCTGGGCCCGGGCGCAGCTCCTGCCCTGGGAATCGCTGCCGAGTTTGGGGGTGGAATGGAGCCGGGCCCCTTTCCCAGCCGGACCAGGAGGCTCCCCAGAGAGGCCAGCAAGGGACCATGGTGCCCAGCCAGCCTGCCCTCCTGCACAGCCCAGAGCAGAGCATCTGCCCCAGCATCCTGCAGCCAGCCCAGAATTCCTGCTTGCGCCACAGCGGTGAATAGTCCATTACACACACACCCTTCTCCCTGCTGGGGAGCCTGTCACCCCCCCCCTCCAGTGCTGTTCTCCCCATGGGGGGAGCCTGTCACCCCTCCAGTGCTGTACTCCACCATGCAGCAGAAACACCCACCACAGCCCTGGCTTCGAGTCCCAGGGCTGCCCTTTACCGCAGCACCTCTGCCCCTAAGGGACCCTCGCTGGTGCCCCAGGATGGGCCTAGAGTCAGGGTGAAAACTCCCCCAGGCTGCACGCCTTAGAGCAGCCACTAGCCCCAGAGCCACGTCCCTCGTCATCCTCAACCTTCCCCAGGCTGGGCCAGCACCTGGCTGCCCACTCCCCCGTCTGACCCGAAGGAGCGGAGTTTGCCAGGCCCAGGCCGGGCCCATCCAGACCAAAAGAAGGAGCCGAGACCTCACGTGTTAATGTCACTTTATTGCTCATTTGGTCTTGAGTATAGAAAAGGACGGGACAAAAGGCCCGTGTACAAATCAGAAGAATATACAAACTGGGCGGGGGCAGGGAGACCTGGATCCAGGCACTGGATACGTCCCCTCCCCCTGCGCTTTGGTCGCAGCTGCTGCAGCTTTGTCCCTGATGGCTGCAAGGGTGCAGGGCAGCCGGGGCCAGACTCTGGCCTGGGATTCCTGGCCCTAGCCAAGCCCTTCGTTGCCCGGGGAGCCCGTTCGGTGCCCAGGTTCCCACGCAGCTGGAAAGGGGAGGCAGGGTCAGTGACCTGAGTCTCTGCTAGCCAGAGGCACCTGAGCTGGGCATGGACATTTGGCACTGGGAGCAGTTGGACCCGAGGCCCCTTGGAGAAGCAGCCGGTCAGGCTAAAGGCACAGTTGGTTGGAGGCCAGGAGCAGGCACCGTGGGGTGGCCACCTCGGCCTGGTGTGCAAAGGAGAAAAGACTAAGGCAGGGAAAAGAGCTTCACATTATCCTGCAGGCCAGATGGGGGTGGGATGGGACCCCGCCCTGGGCCCAGCCCCTAGGGCTCTGGTGGCCCTGCCTGGACAGAGCAAGGAAGGCCCCAGGCAGGGCTCCGGGCATGGCAGCACCTGGATCTTGTGCCCCATTAACCCAGGAGTGCAGGGAGGATCTGCCCGCTCAGTGCAGCCCGGCCGGCCCGAGGGTCAGAGCTCAGTGTGCTCTCAGGTTGGGGAGCCTGTCACCCCCCCCCCCCCAGCGCTGTTCTCCCACAGGGGAGCCTGTCACCCCTCCAGTGCTGTACTCCACCATGCAGCAGAAACACCCACCACAGTGCAGCACCTGTCCCCATTGGCCACCAGGGCAGAGACCTAACCGCTCACCCCCTCAGTGTCATTGGCCCCTGCACTGTCCCCAACGGGCTTGAGCATAAAGCTCTCAGCCCCACCCCTGCCGGAGCATGGCAGAGCCCTGCTGCCCAGCGGGGCCCAGCAAGGCAGCTGCTGCCTCTCCCTGGCCAGCAAAGCAGGTGACTGGGAGATTTTGTCTTCGTCACAAGCTCCTGGGCCAGGACTGAGCCTCCGGGGAGCAGAGGAGAGGGGGCCTCCCACCAGAGCTGTTGGGGGGACGGGAAGACGCCCTGGCACAGGGACACGGCCCTTTGGTACAAGGAGCACAGCACGGGGCGAGCAGCCCAGCACCCAGTCCCGCTTCACTGCCCTGCCTGCATGCTCTGCGGCCTAGAGCCCTGCTCTGCCTGGACACCAGCCATGGGAGGGGGCAGCTCTCCCGCTGCAGCCGAGTAAGGGAAGAGGGAGGGAGGAGGGGGAACCCACCCCTGGGAAAGCCCAATTGGGATTTAACAAACCGCTCCTGTGTCCTCATGCTTCCAGCAGAGACCCCCACCGAGAAACAGCAGCATGGTTCCCACCTGGGATCCCACAGAGTAGAGGGTGGGGAGAAATGGATGCATCCCAGGGGCTCAGTCTAGGGCCAGCCGGGCCCCTGATCCATGCTCTCTCCCACCAGCGATTGGGGAAGGGTGGGGGGGAGTCTCTGGGGCCAGGCTCCTCGGCAATCCTCCAGGGCAGGAATTCTCCCGTGAAGCAGCTGGGCCTGGCCTGGGTCAGGCAGGACACCTGGGCCATCCCTGAGTACAGCAAGGGTGCGGGGGCTGGGTCTCCTCGTCCTCAGGTGGTTGCTTTGGTTTCGGCTCAGCTAGGTGGGGCCCAGGAGGGTCTTTGGGAGCCAGGCCCAGCTGCAGTCAGAGCTGGGAGAGGAGCTGCCCCAACCAGGGCTCTGCAGCAAGAGGCAGGCGCCAGGCCCAGGCTCTGGGCAGGGTTTGCTGGGCCAGGGTGTAGAGATTCCTGCAGAGGCCTCAGAAGATCAAACCCTTCTGCTGCTCCCGTTACACCTAGCAGGGATCCGGCCGCTGGCCAAAGCTGTGCCCACGGGCAGCTCCGTGCTGGGTGGTGGCCGCAGCTGAAGTTCTGCTCCTCCAAAGGAAGGCAGCGCCCAGCTGCTGGGACAAGCCTACTTGGGTAAGATCTGTTCCTGCTGCCCACCACCCATCCTACCAGGGGTCGAGCCAGGCAGGACAGGCTTGCAGGCACTGACAGCCCCTCCTGGCTGAGGTGCAGCCCGTGCCCAATGGACACGAGAGCCCTGGACAACTGAGGGGCCCCAGTGCTTTTGCAGCAGGCTGGGCCGCGCTCTCGAGCCGGAGTTCAGGCTGGTGAGCAAAGCCAGGGGGATCCCAGCTGAAGGCAGCTGCGAAAGCCGATTTTCATGAGGCACAAAGCGGAGCTGCAGTTGCTTCAACAGCAAACGTCTGTGTCCCTCGCAGAGCCCTTGGCTCCCCCGGGCCTGGCGCCATTGGGAAGCTGGGCTCCGAGGGGGCCTGAGCAGAGGCAGCCTAGGCCTGGGGGCAGGGCAGGCAGATTTAAGCAATGGGCCTAGAGCTGGGTTATTGTGCTCGTACTGGGTCCAGCTGCAGCAGGGAGTTTGGGGGGGAAGACTGCCATGGCCCTCCTTGAGTCCCAGGGAGGGGAGCGACTGGCTCCTGAGGTAGGAGGCAGGTTCACATTTTCCTTGTGCTGGGAGGCACCAGCCCCTGCTGGGCACGTGGTGGCTGTGCCAGGTAAGGCAGGGGCACGGTACAGACTGCATTGTGTCTGGGCACGGCTCCTGGCAGCCCTCCAGGGAGCAGCTGACAGGACGCAAGAGGGGATGGATGCCGGGGGCCAGTAAGTGGGGTTTGATCACAGCCCCACCCCATCACCTTACTATTTGCACCAAGCCATAGCCCAGCTGTAAACAGCCCCACCCCTGCAGCACATTACTCCCAGCCCCACAACAGCAGCACTCGGGTGGGACCCCCAGCTAGGGGCTTGGCCTCCCCTCGCTGTTCGGCTGGTCTGGTCTGTCCCCATGAAGTGGGGGGAGGCGGAAGATCTCCATCACTGCACATTTTCAGGGAAAAAATTTCCCACTCCCCAAATGCTACAGAGAGTCCATCTGAGGAGGGACCCACAGGATCTGCAGACCCGGCAGCCACGCGGCCTCTTTGGCTCTAGCTGCGGTGGGCGACCCTGGGGGTCTCGGGCCACCCCATTAGGTGGGCGAATAGCGCTCTATGGTCCGGTCGCCATGAAGCAGTGGGCCTGGACCCAGCATCTCAGCCGCCTTCTCCTGGCTCAGCCCCAGGTGCTCGGCTGTGAACCGGGCCAGCGGGTACAGGCTCTCCAGGCCCTTGGGGTCGCTGAGGAAGTGTGAGGTGTGCGACAGCAGCTCGGCCGCTTTCTCCTGCTTGAGGCCCAGCTGGTCAGCCGTGAGCCGCGCCATGGCGAAGACGCTCTCAGGGAAGTCCAGCTTGGCCTTGCCGTCGGGCCCGGCCACGTGCATCTTCATGTGGCTGATGAGGTTGCGCTGTTGGGCGAACTTGCCGCCGCACACCTGGCACTCGTAGGGCTTCTCGCCCGAGTGGATGCGCATGTGCTCGGTGAGCCGGTACTGCCGGGTGAAGCGCATGCCGCAGGCGTCGCAGGCGAAGGGCTTGAGGCCCAGGTGGCTGCGCATGTGCCGCGTCATGGTGCCGCGCTGCGTGAACTTTTTGCCGCAGATGGTGCAGGGGTAGGGCCGCGTGAGCCAGTGCGTCTTCTCGTGCTGCCGCAGCGTGGCCGGGTCCTTGTAGGCCTTGTCGCAGGAGGAGCAGCGGTAGGGCCGGATGATGTCGCCCAGGCTCTGGCCACCTTTGTCCAGGAAGGGGCCGGCCTGCTCCGAGGCCGCCTTGTGGTACAGCTCCTCCTCGGTGTGGGCCTCCACATGGGCGTTGAGCTGCTCCGAGCTGGGGAAGCCCTTGCCACATGGGATGCACACGTACAGGTTGTCCCCCAGGCTCTCGGGCTCGTAGGCCAGGTGGCTGCAGTAGGGGCCCAGGGTGCCCCCGGGGGATGGGCCCTCGCTGCTGCCCGTGTCCTCGCTGGTGCTGTTGTCGTTCTCCAGCTCGTTGCTCTCGATGCTGGGGTAGCGGGACTGCGGGGGCGACTCGGCCTTCTCCTCCCGCTCAGGCTCTTTCTCCGCCTCACACTCCTCCAGGTAGCTGCCCGGGGGCTCGTGCTTCATCCAGCGGTACAGGAAGTCGCGGCCTTCGGCCCGGGCAAGGGGCTCGGCACAGGGCGGGCTGCCACGGAAGCGCTCCGCGGGGTGGATCACACCTTCGCCCACCTGGGGAGGGTCTTTGTAGGCGGAGCTGTGGTTGGCCAGCAGGGAAGCGCTGCCCGGGGGGCTGTCGTGCCCGGGGGGCAGCAAGGGCTCCCTGCTGTCCCCCGGGTGGAGTCTGTCTGTGGGCAGCAGCTGGGAGGAAGGGCTGGTGGGGCTCTTTTTGGAGAGGTCCAGGCCGCAGGGGGGGGGAGCAGTGCCTCTCGGGTGGGCAGAGCCCAGGCTGGTGCAGGGCGGTGCCCTGGGAGGCAGAGGCATAGAGCTCCCCGCACTGGGTGCTGTGGGGCTCGCCTGGCTGCATGTCCACAGGCCGGGGGCCAGCCGAATAGCAGGTCTGGATGACGGGGGTGGTGGCCCGCAGCCCCCTGGCCATCTTGCCGTAGGGGCTGTAGCCGCCTCGCAGGTGGCAGTACTTGCCCGTCCGCTTCAGCTTCTTCTTGCACAGAGCCACCAGGGCCGGCACCTGCAGGTAGCTGGCGGCCGCCAGCACGGCGCCCAGGCCCTGCTCGCCCGGCTCGCACTCGCCCAGGCGGCCGGTGTAGATGAAGTCCAGCACCAGGCGGAAGACGCCCGGGCTCACCATCTCGTGGTCCAGGTTGAGCAGGTTGTCGTGCACCACCAGCGACTTCAGGTAGACGCTGCTCGCCGCCAGGATGTTCTTGTGCGCGCGGAACAGCGCGTTCTGCACCACGATGATCACGTCGCACAGGAAGCCCTTGGCCCGCTGCGTGTTGAGCTGTAGGAGCAGCTGTCTGGAGTGGCTCGGCATCTCCATGGCCTCCAGCATGGGGCTCCTCCCGCCACCTGCAAGACACACACGGTGAGGGGCGCCAGGCTGGCGGCCGGCCCGGCCCAGCGCGCGGCCTAATTTAGGCAAAACATCCCCGCCCCGCTGCCCGCTGCGCAAGGGCCTTGGAATGCGGCGGCGGGCGCTGCCCGGGGAGGGAGCCGGGCCCCGCCGTCCGACCTGCCGCCCCCCGGGGAGCCCCCAGCCGGAGCAGCGGGGACCTCGGGCCGCCGGCCCCACACGCGCCTGCCCCCAGGGCCAGCGAGGCGGCCGGAGGCGGCTCCCAGCGCCAGGACCTGCGCCGAGTCGGCGGCCGCCCCAGCTAGCGCCCGGCCTCGCTGCGCCCTTCGCGGCTCCCCGCCGGCTGCTGGGTCTCGGCTGCGGGTGGGAGCCGAGGCCGTTGCGCTCTCGGAGCTGCGCCACTTAGACGGGGCGAGGGGCCGCGCCGCCGGCCGCAGCGGGAAGCCCCAGCCCCGGGATCCGGGGCTGCCAGGGCCCAGCCGCTACCTGGGGAGGAGAGGGCGAGTCCTGCCGGGGAGCCGGGGCTGCGCCGCCTCCTCTGCGCACTGGCTGCTGCGCTGCCTTGTGCCACCCCTTATATCGGGGCTTCTCTGCGCGGCCGGGCGGGGGAGGGGAGGGGGCAAAGCCCCTGCCGGCGCTGGGAGAAGGTGACATCACTGCCTCCGCTTCCAGCGCCGCCTGCGAGCCCAGCCCCACCTGAGCGGGGGGCGGAGGGGCCAGGCCACCTGCGGCTCCCCGGCCGGGCCACCTCTGCCCCCATCCTGCCCCCTCCCGCTTTAGGCGCACCCGCTGCTGCCTGCGGCCGCCGGCCCCTCCCCAGCGCCCGGGGGGGGGGAAGCCCCGCTCCGCTCCGCTCCGCATCCCAAACTCGACGAGCGGGGCCCGGGCTCCAGGGCCAGCCCCGGGGGCCAGGGGTGCTTGGGGGGCCCGGAGCACTTCGCCTTCCGGCCCTGCTTTCTCCTGCCTCCCTGGCGCGCCCTAATTCTAGCCGCCGCCGGCGATTTTCGCACCAGGAGGCCCCAAAGCCAGCGAAGGAGCCGGGCCGGGCTTCCCCGACTCGCCCCTGCCCGGGCTGGCTTGCTGGGGAGAACAAGCGGCCCCCAGAGGAGCGGGGCCCCTTTCCCCGGGCCCAGGCAGGGACAGGCCGCACTGCGCGGGGGCCACTCGAGAGAGCCAGGGCAAGGGAGGGGAAGGCGCTGCTAGCCGGGTCGGCCTGGCCTGGGCCGGGATGGCCGGAGCCCTAGACACGGGCCGGGTCCGCAGCGAGCGGGGCCCGGCTGGCGCAGTTGCTGTGGCGGGGAGAGCGAGGCGGCGGCTCCCCTGGGAGGCGAAGGAGCTGTGGGTGCGCCAGGGCCAACTGGGCTCGGGCAGTGCGAGCCCGGGGGCGGGCGGGGAAGGGCCGGGCTGGAGCCGAGACCCGCCGGGGGAGCCAAACTTCGCCATTTTACAGCATCTTTGGGCAGAGGCGCTGGACGGATGTTTCATGGGGCGCTGAGAGCCACACAACCCTCTGCACGATGGAAACCACTTCAAATGCAGCAACCCCGCAGCCCTGGGTCCAGCCCCTCTGTCCTTGGGCCTGCAGCGGACCCGGGGAGGAGGCAAAGGGGCTGGAGAAGAGAGACCGGCCTAGGGGCCAGTCCCCGCCCGCTGGCAGCCCCGGCCCGACTCAGCCTCGGCGGGACCCGCTGTCTGCCCGCGGGAATCGGTCCCCTCCTGCAGACCCGCGTGGGGAAGTCCCAGGCCGGCTCTGCTGGTCGCCAGCGGGACTCCCGTCCATGGGCTTGTCGGGGAGCCGCGAGCACCGAGGGCAGGGCCCGGCCCCCACCTGGGCGAGAACCCCTGGGGGACCTGCCGGCTCTGGGGTCAGGGACACGCAGGGGCCCAGCGCTGGCTCCGCGGGACCTCGCCCTCAACTCCCCTCCCGGGATCTGGCTGCGGCGCCTGCAGGGCGCTGGAACCATGTGGATAGCGGGGTGCTGAGAGCCAGGGAACCAAACTGTAACCCTGGTTCTGATGGAGCCACTTCAAGCCGGGGGGTGGCAGCGCCCCCAGCACCCGACTTGCAGCACCTCCGGCCGCTTTGCCACCCCCCGCAGGGACCGACCCTTCCTCCTCTGCTCTCGGAGCCAGGCGCCCCGCGAGCGGCCCGGCCCCAGGGCTTCGCTCCCCGTTCCCTGCAAAGCGCCCGCTGCCTCGGGCGGCTCCGGCTCAGCCCCCCGGCGCCCCCTGCCCGGCTTTATGCGGTCGCATCCCGGGAGGGACCCAGCCGTGCCCCCGGGCCGCCCCTTCCCCGGTTCCGTGCTGCACTGCAGGATGAGTGGGGAGCCCCGGCCAGGTGAGCGCCCGCCCTGCTCCCAGGGGCACGGGCAGAAGCCCCCGGCACAGGCGCCCTCCCGGCGCGCCCCGGCCCGGCCCGCGGTACCTGGGGGCTCCGTCGCTTCCGCCAGCCAGCCGAGGTCTCTGCGGACTCTCATGTCCCCTGAGCAGCAGCCTCAGCCCCTGGGTCCCCGCCGTGCGCTCCCCGCCGCCAGCCGGCGCCTCCGGCCCATGCCAGCTCCGCGGGCTGTGCTGCCAAGGCGCTGCCTCCCTCGGCGCTCGCTGCGCCCTGCGTGCCAGGCCCGGCGGCCGCTCCGGGGCGCAGCGCAGGAGGCAGCATGTGCCGCCGGCGCACGGCTAGGCGCAAAGGTAAAGCCCGGGCTGCGAACTCCCACTGACCCCGGCCTGAACTCCGCTCAGCGCCAGCGCCTGTTAAAGGGACAGCAGCTGATTTCCTCCTCCCCTCGGCTCCCCGGGCGGGGCCGGGCGAGCGGGCCCCAGCAGCAGGGGGAGGAGCGGGGTCCTGGACGGCTCCCCACGGAGCTGGCCCGGGGACCCCTGCCCGCGGCGGCAAGGAAAAGCCCCGCTTGTCTCCGGGACCGGCCTGCCCGGATCCCGCCTCCTAAGCGTCCGCCCGGCGCGGGAATTTAACCCGCTTCGTCTGCCTGCGGGGTGGGGGGCGGCTCCGGGCCGCTGGGCTGGGAGGGGCCCGTTGGGAAGGTGAAAGTATCAGCGCCAGGTCCGCGCACGGCTCCCCGGCGGCCCCTTCCCCTCCGGCCCCGACTCCCGCAGAGGGAGAGCGCCCAAGCGAGCCCCGGAGCCCGGCTCCCGTCCCGGATGCCTGGGTGAGTCTATCGGGGGCCGGGGAGCGGCGCTTTCCCCCGGTTTCCTGCTCCCGCCGCGGGGCACTTCCAGCTGCGGGTAAACTGCGCTAGCCCCGCACAGGATGGGCGCGAAGGGCGCCGGGGAGCGGGTCCCGGGTCCCGCAGGGGGAAGGGGACGGGG